CGGCAGGGCAGGGCCCAGAGCCGAGCACTGGTCCCCACCCACCTCGTCCTCTACCTCAAGGCTGCAGCCCGGCCTCGCAGCTCCCACTGCAGGACCGCGCTCTGCACCCATGTGACTGTCCTCCCACCGGACTGGGGGGCTGGGGAGGGCAGGGACCCGCTCATGGTCACGGCCGTGGGGAGGCAGGACGCCAAACGCTCATTCAACTCACATCCAACCCTCCGTTGCTTGCTGATGGGATTCGTAGGCTGCGTGTGTGGTGGAGATGTGGCCATTTGCACCCGCGGCAGCAGCCTCGGAAGCTGTCCTGGGCCCCCAGCTTTCAGACGGGCTTAGAGGGACACACAGGCTCCGCACCCAGCCACCACTCTCCACGTGGGAGCCACATCCGACCTTCAGCCCCAGAACCAAGAGAATCTCCGCGGCTCCCTCCCGAGAATCCAGGCGTGGCTGGCGGTGGGTGTCTGCTGTGCACCCTGTCTCTGCATAGTTCCTGAGGGCCTCAGGCCCACCGAGCAGAAAGATCCCCACCCGCCTGGACCCGCACAGAAAACTGAGGCTCCGCAGGGGCCTGCGTATCCCCGCTGGCCTCTCCAGGGCTGCTCGCCTGTGCAAGGCCTCCCTCGGCCTGTCTCAGGCCTGTCAGCGGGGAGCAAGCCAGAGACCCCAGGAAACGCTGTCCCCCTGCTGCTCCTCAGGACCCCGGAAGAGACCTGGGGGGCCGGCCGGCCCTGGGCACAATGGACAGAGGGACAGCAGAGGAGCAACAGCCCCAGGAGGCTGTCTGCCTGGCCCTGTTTCCAGAAGCATTGAGCCTGGGACAGAGGCACAGAGACGGAGACAGTAAAGCAGGGAGAGAGACTCGCACACACTCAGCTGTCGGCTGGGCATGGGACTGGGACCGGCAGCCGTGGTCTTCTCGGATCCGGACTCAGGACGCCAACTGTTAACCCCCAGCCCAGACCGGCCTGAGTTTTCACCGCCTGACTGCCCGGCGCGCGGCTGTGACCAAGCATGCACCTGCAGGGCTGGCGCAGGCAGTGGCCTCGGGACATGCGTGGAAGAGTGGCAGCAGGTCACCGCCCGCCTCCGTGTGCATGTCCGTCACCGTGTCCCTGTGCGAATGGGTGACGCTCAGCCACACCGCGGCCTCCCGGATGGTGCCGCGGGGCTGCCCGAACCCCAGAGCTCTTGCGCGGCCGCGACCCCAGCCCTGGACCCTGAGTCGGGAGCCCGGGCTGCCCACCCGGGTGCTTTTGTCCGTTTCTGAAGTGACAAGAGACACACAAAAGGGCTTTTAATTAAATCAAAGGAAGGGGAAACGGGCCAGCCGGGCCGCTATTATGTTACCAAACGCGAAAACGAAAACTTATTTTTTAAAGCTCTGGTATTAATTTGAGATTATTCAGATAGTTAATTAAAAGTGCAGCATGTGTTAAATATTATTTCAACAAAGATTATCATCAGGCCTCCATGTAATGCGATCCGTGGGCTCGGGGAGCTTTATGCAAATGGTCTGCGGCCAGAAGGAAGGGCCCGAAGCGCCGGGCGGCAGGCCACTCGCTCACCGCAGGGGTGGCCTTTGCAGACACACACGGAATGGCAGCCAGGACCCCTGTCCGGGACCTGGGTGAGCAGGGAGACCACCGGCCACCCTGGGCCTGCTGGCCAACGGCAGGCTCCCCGAAAGTTGTCCAGGTGGCACCTGGGCCTTCAGGGGACACGGGCCGCACTCCTGCAGGTGTGTGTGTGGGGTGTGGACGTGTGTGTTGGCGAGGCTGTCGCGAGACTGGCTGCACACGTGGCTGGGGTGTTGGCAGCGCTGGTTCATCCGTCTGTTACGCGTGGACTCGTGCACGTGACACGCACGTGTGCACCTGGGCACGGGGTGCGCGCCCATAGCTGGCCCCGAGCACGCCGTGTCACCTCTCGCTGCCTCAGTTTCTCCATCTGTAAATGGGGACCGCTACAGTCCAGGCCTCACGGGGAGGATTAATGAGGGTCACGTGGCATAAGGCAAAAGCACTGTCCTGCACAGACAGCACGAGAGCCAACAATGCCAGCGTGCGCGGAGCTTTAAGTTTACGTGTCCATGTTTAACGAAAGTGAAATTAACTTTTATATTTTATTTAACCCGGTATGTCCAAAATATTGTCGTTTCAACATGTGATCCATGCAAAAACTGATGGCCGTGGTAGTTTGCATTCATTTTTCACACTAAGCCTTGGAGGTCGGTGTGTATTGGACCTGCAAGAACCTCCGGCCACACCGGCCGCATTTCAGGTGGACGTTTCAGTTGGACCTCACAGCTCTGAGCCCCGGGGACGTGGGTGTCCCCCCCTGCACCCTCGCTCGCCTGCGCTCCCTGGCCTCAGACGCGCGGGCCGCTCCTGCCCTCTGTCGGCGCCTGGCGGCGGTGCAGCGCCCACGGCTCGCCCCGCCCGGCCAGATCTGTCCCCGCCCCGCAGATGGCCACAGCCCCCTGCCCACTGCCAGGCTCCATGGTACCATTTCCCACTGCGGGCTGAGGGGCAGATGGGAGGGCAGAGGCTCAGAGAGGACCGGTCATCCGCCCCGGGTCATGCGGCAGGACCGCAAGGAGGGACCCCAGCTGAGGTTGGAACCCAAGCGTTAAGACGCTTCTGTGGGTCCCACCGGGTTCCTATCCTGGCTCTGCCCCTCTTGGCTGTGAGTCTCAGGGTTCCACAGCTGTAAGCGGGAGGGGGACCGGGGGGACGGGGCGGTAATCCCTCTGTTCAGGGTTGTGTGAGGACTAAGTAGGAAGACGTCTCTGAGGTTTTCAGCACATTCTGAGCACAGAATATGCCCAGTAAATCCATCACGGTCATAGCACCGTGACAGGACACCCCTGCCTCAGGGCCTTTGTACTGCTCAGTCCCCCAGATCTAGGATCGGACGGCTCCCCTCGTGAGGGAGGACCTCGCTGACCATCCCCTCCTTCTTGTCACCCTCAGAGCCTGTGTCGCCACCCAGCACGAGCCTGCGTGTGCCTGAAGTCTTCTTGTTTCTTGTCTGCCTCCCCCATTGGACTGGCAGCCCCAGGAGGGCAGGGCCTTGCCGGTCTTGGCCATGGTCATCCCTGACCTGGCACAGTGCCTGGCCCTACGTAGGTGCCTGACGGAAAGAGCAAGAAAGCCGTGTCAGGAGGGGGCGCAGCTTGGTGGTCACTAGGGAAGTTAGACGCCGCTTACCACACAGCCCAACATTCCACAGCCAGGTGCTAACCCAACAGAAATCAAGCTTAGGTCCACACAAAAATTCATCAATGAGCGTTTGTAGCGGCATTATTCACAACTGCCCCACGCTGGAAACCCCCCAACTGTCCCGCAGCTGGTGAACATTCATGCAGAAGAATCTACCAGCAGCAAAGGGAACCGCCGTCCAGGCACTGGACGCGGGTGGACCCAGAGGTGTAAATGTGGCCATGTGACACGTGACATTCTAGATGACACACAACTATAGGGACAGAAAACAGACCGGTGACTGCCGGGAGGGGGGCCACGGGCACATGAAGGATCTGGAGGGGGGCAACTTTTCTGTATTTGTGACTGCATGTGTTTTTCAAAACTAACAAAACTGTACATCTGAAAGGGTAATTTTTTTCTTTATGCAGCAAACCGTGATTTTTAAAAACAGAGCTGTAGACTTTCAGAGTCTCAGGTCGACTCAGTCCCTACTGCTTTCCGGTCCCAATGGTGAGCTTTGATCCCCCAACCCGGGAAAGCAAAGTGGGGGCAGGCCCCCCGCCTCCTGAGCAGGGCCGCTCCACAAAGACAGGCGGGCAGGGGGTCTGCAGAGGCTCAGCTGCAGAGCCTGGAGAGTTCCAGCAGCTTCCCCCACTCCTTGTTTCCCTCGCTGGTGTTGGTGGGAGTTCACTGTGTTGTGCTCTGTGCATTTTTCACATGTTTGAACTATTTCCTTAATAAACATGACACATACTAAAATGATTTAAGACAAGAACAGCAGGATTCCCACTGCAGAATCCCACCAGCCTCTCCTGCAGCCCTGGGAGCTGAGAGCCACCGCGGGTGGGCACAGAGGGCGGCCGGGACCAGGAGCCAGGCTGTGCGGGTGTTTCTGGGTGTCGCTCACCCCCTGCCACAGTTCCAAGCTCACTCTGCCCCACAGTCCCCGGGGAGTGGGCGCTGTCTCCCCATCAGGCAAGGCTCTGGCCGGAACCAAACGGTGTGGGGCTGCCACCCAGGATTGGCTGTGAGGTGGTGAGGACAGGCTTGGAGCATCATTCATTTGTTAAACAATTTTATTGAGATACAATTTACATGCCATAAAGCTCCCCGCTTAAAGTGTACAATTCAGTGGTTTTAGCATTTTAGTGCAACCATTACCACAATCTAAGTTTAGAACATTTTGTCCCCAAAAAGGGAGCCACAGCCACTAGCAGTCAGTGCCATCCCACTAGGTCCCCAGCCCCCGGCAACCACAGAGGTACTCTCTACAATTATGGATTTACCCATCCTGGACACTTTTGTACGTGGAATTTTACAATCTAGACTTTGCTATCCGGCTTCTTTCACTGAACGTAATGTTTTCGAGGTTCATCCATGTTGAGTCCGTGTCCGTATTTCCTTCCTTTTGTTGGCTAATCACACAGTCCATTGCATGGTAGGCCCGCATTTCATTTATCCATTCATCAGTTGATGGGCATTCGGGTCCTCTCCACTTTTTTTTTTTTTTTTTTTTTTT